TCTTCTTGGACAAATCGAGCCAGATGAGTGCAGAGTACGGCTGCCTCGTGGCGTGCGCTTTGCGGCTTGTAGTAACGAACCTTGGGGTATTCTCCGAGTGTAATACAAAGACCGGCGATCTAACTTCTTATCAACAAACGTCATCCGACCGAAGCATGCTGCCGCCTTACCTTTTGCGCTAGAGCCTTCATGTGTGTTGGAACGACGGCGTTACAGGCTGGGTGGAAGAGCATGGGAAAGCTCCAGGGATCGCGAAGGGTAACGAGATGCGATTCTCGAGGCAGGAAATCGACGAACATGGTCTGGAAACCGGCGCGGAGCTGTCGGGCTCCAGGAAAGTCGTCGATCTTGCGTCGCAATGAGGGGTCGAGGAGGCCGGTCCAGACAAGGTAGTAGCTGCGATAACGTCGCATCTCGAAATCGGCGAGAAGACACTCGACAGCGAAGGATTCAGGCGACAGAATATAGATTGCGTCCATCTCAGGGTTCGGTTCGCGACGGTTCTCGATTCGCTCAATAGCTGGAGGAAAGGCTGGTCAGTACCAGACAACAAGCTGGCAGTCAGATAGATAGACCAACTAGCGATATTGTTATTGAGAATATCATCCTCCTTGACGACATTGTCAATGATCTTTTTGGAGTTCTCATCGACGATCAGGCATTTCCACTATTGCATCAAAGACGTCAGTCGACTGTCGAGCTCAAAGCTTGGCTGGTAGCTTACATCGCCTCGGGTGATCTTCTTGATCTGTCCCAAGATAGCTGAAGCCGGCGCATTAGCAACGAATTGCGTATAGTATTTGTGTCGTATATATCATACCATCATGCTGCTCTTGGATGACGGACAGCCCCATGGTGTATAGTTAAGGCGGGCTGCCCTGTCACGTCGTTGGGTATGGAGATATTGAGGGAGGCTGAGGCAGTGTTTGACAACGAAAGAAGCGGCGGTAGGATCCAGCCCAGAACCTTGAAATTGAAGCGATACGGTAAGGCGCAGGGGTATCAAAGTTGAGTTAAAAGAAAAATGGTGCAATGTAAGGTTGCTAAAAGTTGAGAGGTTTTGGGTGGTTTGCTCAAGTATCGAGGATTCTAAGTTTGGTTTGGGATCAGGCCCAAGTCAGGAGTTGAGGTGCTAAGTGCTAACTAGGTACCTACGGCTTTCCATTTGGCGGGGTTTCATCATCCCAATGGAAGGCATGAAGAAGGTGGGTCCAGGTCTTGCAGTCGCTAGCGCCCGGTGGTTGGTTAGTGATGGTCTCTATAAATGTCCCTGAAGGAGGCCTAAAGGACAGGGCATCAGCAGCATGACATAGGTAGGGAGCGGTGTATCAGCCTCAACTTCGATGAGGTCATCACAGATGCTTGAACTTTGAGTATATTTCGACTTCACATCTTGACTTGTGTAGGTAGAACACAATTTGTGGATGTTCTGTTGAAGATCTCGATAGGGATATATCGATATGTTTATCACTGTTTCGTTTATGCAACATGAAACACTTAGTTCAATCTGAAACCCTCGATATACCTCAGTGCTTAAGCTCAGTTGACTAGAGATAGCTCTCGAAATTAGAGCTGATCGCATTAGCATCGCAACATTCTAAGCCCAAGTATTCAGCTACGATGGCTTCAGATACCGCAGAGTCGTTCAGTGTTGTCTTTCCGGATGAGTCTTCTGATCCGGCGGTGAGTCCTTGAGCAAGTCCTAGAATAGGCATCTCTTTAACCGCTTGATGGCCTGTGAAATCGAAGACCGGATACAATGTAGCCGGTGCCTCGAGCTGTCTTTATTTGTATTTTCTCATTGCCTTGTATACCTAATCAACCATCGTCGCCTTTCCCTCTCAGATAGCTTTCCACATCAACTCTTCCATAAATCTCACCCTGTAGTCTCTCATGCCGTTGTCGTTCCTTGGCCGCCAGCTGCTTCGCTTCCTTTCTGTTTAATGGCCTGGGCTTCTCTTCCTTTTTCTTTTCTTGGATCTCTTTCGGTATAGTTGCTCCGATTCCGAGGGTATCTTCTTTTGCCACCACTTTGATAGGATATCGCATTCCCTCGCCCTCTCTTCCTAGACCTCGTCGGGCATCAGGGTCCCAGCCTTGAGACTTTAGGGCTTTGAGTCCCATGCGCGAGCGATCAAGGGCTGATGGGGGGTGTGAATGTGTGAGTGAGACTTGGTGAGCGAAGGATGCTTCGTGGGGCTGTGAAGTGGATGAGAGGGGGAGTTTGCAGTCTGGACATATTTCTTCTGGCTCTTCTTCTGAGGGTTTGGTATCTTTGTCTTTGGCGGGTTTTAAAACGATGCTAGCATATAAGTCGCCGATGGAAGTGTCTGTTGACTTGGCTGGTGTTATTGTGGTTGTAGTTCCCGCATCAGGATCTTGGGCGGGAACAAATTCGACCCTTTGGCGCTTCAGTCCCGCGCCGAACGCCCGCTTGTAGTGTAGAGGAATGTCTTCCTCATCATGGCTCTCATCAGAGGCGTCTTCTCTATAGCGCTGCATGATGCTAGGGTTGTGGGGGCTCAGTTGTAGGGAGTTGTAAGTGATGCTTGAGGAAGGGAAGTTCTTCTAGAATGCGAGGTTGCCTAACCTAAACCATTTTGGTTCCTGAGGCTCTTTGAACTTATTGCCTATTTACAACACCACAGCTGTAACTTAATTATGCCCTCTTCCTTAATGTCTTGGTCATTGAACATTCTCGTTAAAGTGTATAGTTCATTTTGAAATAATTTCATACGTAGGCGATCGCACAGCAACCCTCCAATAACAAGAACGTTGTCAATGACCCAATAGAGCCCATTTCAGAGTCGGCCGACTCACTCGGGAAACACTGAACATAATCAGTAGACTTTTCGTCACTCAACGTTCCATGCATTCTTGGTAAGGCAAGCCACACATATTCATAAGCGATGCATCATGCCGAAAACCGAGAACCAAGATATCCCATTCGGTGAAGCCGATGCAGAACATGATGTGATTACGACAATTACCTTGAATGGCTTTTCGTGAAACATGGGTTTGGAGGACTCGCTGTTCGGGTTTATCACAAGTCTTGACGTTGAATGTCACTTAGAACTTGCATGTTCTATTGTAGGGAGATATTGACAGTGTAAAGACCTTCTCTTGGATCAAGTATAAGTATAGGGCCTTGCTTCCTTTATCAGAAAACCTCTTCCACTCAAGTCCATTACTCTTGATCAACTCTACCGCTACCACTATCATCGAATACCGATACCCTTCCAAATAATACCTCAGTTTTATCAAGATAACAAACATGGGTTCAGTCGAAGCAAATGGTCACCCAAAGATCCTCATCAACGTCGGAGCCAAAAATGTTTGTCTCTTTGATACACTCACAATTCATACCTTTCACTAACACAATCAAAGGTTCCCTTCTACACTCCTATCCAAGACCCTCCTGCAGGAACCCCATGGGATGTCCAACCCGAAGGCAGCCTATTCTCTCCCCTCAAACTACGAGGTCTAACGCTCCACAATCGTATCATCGTATCACCAATGTGCCAGTATGCAACCTCTTAGCGCGTACCACTACCAAATGCCTAACAGACATTATAGATACTCTGCTAAGGATGGCTACATGACCCCGTGGCACAAGCAACACCTCGGAAGCTTCGCCGCACGTGGCCCTGGACTCATCATCACAGAAGTAAACGCAGTGTCACCAGAAGGACGAATCAGCCCTCAAGATGCCGGCATCTGGGAGGATGGACAGCTTGAGCCTCTGAGGGAGATTGTGGATTTCGTGCATAGCCAAGGAGCGAAGATTGCCATTCAGATGGGCCATGCTGGGAGGAAGGCGAGTACTGTTGTGCCCTGGCTGGATCGCAAGAACACAGCGGTCAAAGAGGTAGGATACTCACCACAACATGTACGTGATCAGCGACTCATTGCTTACAGGCTGGTGGCTGGCCGGACGAAGTGGTTGCACCAAGTGCAATTCCCTATAGTCCAGAGTCTCTCACTCCCAGGGAGATGACAAGCGATGACATTACCAAATTCAAGCAAGATTGGGTTGCTGCTGTGAAAAGAGCTCTCAAGGCTGGCTTTGATGTGAGATCTTCAGAGAGCACATCTGATTTGATAGACACTGACTTCGTGAGGCCATCGAAGTTCACGCTGCACATGGATATCTCCTAAATGCGTTCCTCTCCCCAGCCTCAAACCAACGAACGGACCAATACGGCGGATCTTTTGAGAACCGTATTCGCCTCCTTCTCGAGACCGTTAAACTCACTCGTGATATCGTCCCCGAAGACTTTCCCCTCCTTGTCCGCATGCCGGGAACAGACTACCTCGAGTTCGATTCGTCTTTACCACAGTGGCATATCGAAGAAGCCGCAAAGCTCGGTCAAATCCTCGCCGCGAACGGCATCGATCTGATCGATATTTCAGGCGGCGGTTTGGATAGCCGTCAGCAAATCACTTCTGGCCCTGGTTACCAAGTCCCGTATGCTGCTGCCGTGAAGAAAGCTGTCAAGGATACCGGAGTTGCTGTGACTTCAGTGGGAATGATCACCTCTGGAAAGCAGGCCCAGGGTTATCTGAGAGATGACTCTGTAGATGCTGTGTTGGTGGGACGGGGCTTCCTCAAGGACCCTAATCTTGTCTGGCACTGGGCGGATGAGTTGGATGTTGACATCCACGTCGCTTCTCAATGTAAGTCTCGAATATATGCGACTTGAAAGACCATACTGACGATGATATAGATGGCTGGGGTTTTGGAATGACCCGTACTCACCGACATAGAAAGCACTAAATATAGTCCACTTTATGTTTCTCCTTTTCCTTTTCCACATAGACAACTTCGGTATAGACTAGACGATAAATAGAATCCAGTATGGATCAATACAACTACTCAACAAAATGTCTTGTTTATGCTCAACATCTTTCTATGGATTTCATAGACCTGAACAATTCGTACAATTCTCGTAACATGTTCCAATGCATCATAACTCATGATATCCAGATTGTCTCCAATCTTACGCAGCATTGCTACGCGCCCGACGCGTAGCCCGTATCTTTTGCTGCGCCCTGGCTCTCTGTAACATCTCATCATCCATGCCCTGACGCCACGAACAATCGGAAGCAAATTCACATGTTCTACACTTGAACGCTTCCTCTATATCGACGCCTCTTGCATCGCGTTTCCCTTTCCACCAATCCATGTAGTTAGCAAGATAGGTCTCCAAAGCTTGTCTCGAAACAGGAAAGTCGTGAAGATCGATCTCACGACCATCACTGCGGTGGACGTATTGAACTCGGAGCATGTGGCCAAGGGAGTGTTCGCCCTGAGGGAAAGTGAGCCCTATCTCATGCTCGACAAGAGGAATGAGTTCGCGTAGAGTTCGATACTGCAACAGATCTGGCCCTGCTGAAGAAGAGCTCTGGAAACTCGAGGAAGGATGTTCTTGGGTGAACTCCGTTTCTGTTTCTGATGCATCCACAAAGATCTCATCGTGCAGGCTACCGACTTGGGCGATGAAAGTATCTGAAAAGGCGTCATCTGGATCAAGTCCGTATCGCCGAAAGACTTTGAAGAAATCTAGTTTTCCAGCAGCCATATTAGACAAGAAGTGATGATACAAGAGCAACTGAATCTTTGCAGGCCGTATTTGAGCGTTGGAAACAGGAGAAAATGATCCGCGAGTCTTGACGTCCGCAAGATAAATCTTTGGCCCCGAGTCATTCTTATGATTCGTGTTTTTTGGCGGAAAGTAGTCAGTCAATGAGGATTGCCGTCCGGTCGTGTCAGGCTCTTGACTAGAGAGCTCTGCTTCAAATTCAGGATTGGGGTTCTCGTAGCTCACGCTGTCGATGACTCCATTGACGAGGTTCCCATCAATCATGCCCCATACTTCGAGTTCACGAGTGAGTCCTGTGTCTCGCAAGGTTCTGAGTCCTTGGACCAGATTCCACAGTTTGAGTCCAAATGCATCTTCCTTGGTCATGATGTCAATTTGAACTGTAGTGTGGACTTCATCCTCAAGCTTTTTGTGAACTTTTGTTCCTTGCTTCATGGCTGCTGTTCTGGTTCTTCGACCTCCAGGTAAGCGGGTGAGGGTATACCAGTACTGCAGCTCGCACCAAGCACCAGACGTAAGATCGGTCACGGTCAATGGTCTCTTAGGATATGACCTGAACCGTTGCAGAGGTGAACGGCCATCATCGTACTGATCAGCCTCATTGGCCTCAGTTGCTGGTGTCGGAGTGACACTTGATTCTGATTCTGGAGGTGGCTTTGGTTTCAAATCCTTCAAGGCTTTGCTCACTAATCTCTTTGGTCAGTTAGTGCTGAAGCCTCTTGAGGGTATAATCACGTACAATCCGGGTAGAGTACGTCCTCGATCGAGGATAAAGCTGGTGGCGGCGTTGGCAGACCAGAAGACGTGTCGAGTTGATGGAAAGCCTTGCCTCTGTACAGAGTATTCGTGGACTCTGTCTGAAGGCGGTCCACGCCAGAAGTTGATGTGCCGCCAGCGACATTTTGAGGGTGCAGACTATCGTGCCTCTCAGGAACAGAGTCTATAGCTGCGATCTCTGCGTTATTCGGGATGTTGTTATTTTCAGCAGACAGTTGAAGGAGCAATTCTTCTTCCTCGGCAGAGAAATCGTAGCCGAACTCGTTATCGCTATCTAACGTCATCGCAACCGCTCTCGTTCGAGGCGATGAATCATTGTTTTAGGGAATGGATGCGGCGGGGAAAATGGCACTTGCAGCTAAATTTAGCAAAGGTTTTGATGATGAATGACAAGGATGAGTTTTGGCGTCTGTCTCTACTTAGGTAGTAGGGAAGACGCGAGCGAGTACACGAGGTCACGTGGGGTGCTGAAAGTGATACGCAACTGCCTAGGTAAGAATACCCCCTTAGGCAGAATGTCTACCTAAGAGATGAGGTATTCATATTGTGATTAATTGATGTTCGCAGATGAATCAGTCGAGTCCAAGACGAACAATATTCCGGGGCTAATCTGAGTGTGGAGAACAATACTAACTATAGCCATAGGCCCATAGCCATGTCTCTATTGCAAACAGACACGCCCGCATTCGGCTCTCACTCTTACTGTCACTCGTCCAACAACCGAAATAGGTAGAATATATATTTGGCTGCCTCCACGAGCAACAATAATTAACGTAAAACTCGAGCTCTCAGCCTTGAACCTAATTTTATAACAATAGTCCTACAGCTGAAAGTGCCCTGAAACGACTAAGGTAATAAATGACCTAGATTTCTGCACTGCCCTCCCTATTGGCTTGGGCGCTGCCTACAACAACCCCGGCCTGTCCTAGGTAAACTATCGATTAGGCTTCCAAGTCCTTGACCTCGTTCAAGGCAGCAGCCAGATACAAAGCCCTCGCATATTCCCAGATCTAGATCAAAGGCTTCATAGTAATTTGCCGCTCCTTCGGAACTCAATCGTCCCGCTCCGTCCCGCTCCGTTCCACAATGTCCAACGTCCTCCAAAGCCGTCGCCCCACAACCGGGCCCGATGCCGGGACGGCCTCCGGTAAGAGAACATCGCCGCAGCGGACCTTCATGTCTCTACCAACAGAAATACATCTCGCCATCTCCGATTTCCTCATCTACCCAGATGCACTATCTTTAAAACACACCAGCGCCTATTTCTATAGTCTCGTCGACACTGGTATCAACCTCAAAGTGGAATGGCTAGTGGAACGACGGAGCCTCCATCTAGAATGCCCCAACGACCGACGGTGCGATCTCGGTAGTGATCTGCGTTTCTGCCGCGGGAGTGTACCGTAAGCTAATATCCTCTGATGTGATTGAAATGAATCATGGACTAATTGTTATAGTCTACTCATGCAACGAAGACGAGAACATGTGGAATGTGAATCTCGGCCTGGCCTTGGCTGTCTTGTTTATGGGACAAAGACATGCTCCCATCGCTCATTGCTGAGTAGAACACTACCACGTTGGATGCAAATCAAACTCACCATTGAAATTTGGTGGATTTTGCTCGCCCTCGTACCCATTTTCTCTTGCTGGGTGTGGTTGGCCGAGTTACCGTGGGGACTTGTATTTGGATCTTGAGTTTCGTTTTTTGATTTCTGCGAACGGCCTGAGAAACCTTGCGAGCTTGTTTGTTTGTTGGTCCGAAGGCATAATTATGTAATACTAATATTGTAAAATAAGGAACGGACTTTGGGGGTAATAATGGCTGGAGGCATGAACTGAAATCTGGCCCACTTCTGGGTAAGCATTTATACTCTGGCAGTATAAATAAGAGGGATTATTACTTATAACTGCCATATTGTGTGCCTATTAGTGACTCGAGGCCAATGCGTGTAAATGATAGATTATCGATTCATTTCATTCTGAGATCACAATTCGGGACTAGAAACATGGTGGATTATATGAGTCAATGGCATTGCTCAGCTTAGCTTCACTATTGTAACAAAGCCAAGGTGGCGAACAAGGAAGACTATCTGCCTACGTAGTAAAAGCGAGTGAACACTGAAGAAGAAACTGAACGAGTCTCTCTTCAGTCCTCTCCAAGTCTGGATTAGAACTCGCAGTAGTTTAAGGAAGCTCACCATGAGCTTGGATAGAAGGGTACTGATGTTTTCTGGGCGCCCAAAGACGCTGTTTCTCGTCGAAATTCAAAGCAATAGAGGCCGGTAACGACAGTCGTGCAACACTGTGCTGGTCGAAATCAAGCGTAACATGAAAGAAATCTTCAGCTACAGGACTTCTGGTCGAAGATAAATGAGAGTGAACAGAAGCTGCGCTGTTACAAGTTGAGTCTCAATATCCTGACTAGATCTTCGACCAGCGCAGAAGCACAGCCGCAAGAATAACCGGCAGAACGCTCACCAGTTCTCCAAGACCTGCATATTCCGGTGGAATTCTGGCATTGACGAATGCCCCAGCAGCGAGAAGAACCGCAAAAGTGTTGTACACAAAGCTCCAGCCGAAGTTAAACTTGATGCGATTGACCGACTTTCGACTCGCGTCTATCATAGTGACAATGCCACCAAGAGCGGGACGCATGAGAACGACGTCTGCTGCGGACTGGGCTACATCTGTGCCTTCATTCATGTGAACACCAATGGTGGCTTGGGCGAGAGCGACTGCATCGTTTGTACCGTCGCCGCAGAACACGACAACCGGCTTTTTGCGATCAGTGGAAGTACCGAGGAGTGTCTGGATATAGTCCCGTTTGCCAGAAGGTGAAGTCCGTGAGCGCACATTGTCTTGCGGGATGTTCAACTTGGATGCCAGGTTCTGAACAGCTGTATCATCATCGCCAGAAACCACATGAACTGATATGCCTCGCATGTGCAGGGCTTCAACCGCTGCAAAGGCGTCCTTTCGAGGTTCGTCTTGGAGACCGTAAACAGCCTGCAGCTCGTCGTTGATTGTGAAACAAAAGACGGTATGACCTTGAGAAAGCATAGGCTGAATAAGAGGACCATCCGAGAGATTAAGCCATGTGGAGTTTCCAGCTTTCAACTTCTGACCCTTCACAACTGCTTCTACGCCTTTACCAGTTAAACTCTTCGGTTCACCGACGGCCAAAGGTTCAATGCCAATACTCCTGAGGAAGCTCGTCACAGCCATGGAGACTGGATGACGACTGTTCTCTATCAAACCTAAAAGGAGAGGAAGAGTACTTTTATCGACACACTCATTTGCAACGACAGTCAGCTTTCCTTGAGTCAAAGTCCCAGTCTTGTCAAAAACAACATGAGATGTCTTGTGAGCAACTTCGATAGCATCTGCGGATTTGAAAATGATGCCTCTTTCTGCTGCGACTCCGCTCATGATGACTATGACCATTGGTACTGCAAGTCCGATCGCACAAGGACAGGACACAATGAGAACAGCGATGGCATATGTGATTGCTTCAGTCGTTGCCTTGGAGCCACCATAGCCACGGACAGTTATGCCAATTGCAACCCAAATGACAAAAGTGATGATAGTCAACGCCACAACCACGGGGACGAAGTATGAAGCCACTCGGTCCGCCAGGTCCTGTAGCTTTGGCTTTGATAATTTGGCTTCATCTACCATGGCAGCGATTGCGTTGATGGTGTTGTCGCTCGGCAAGCGGTTTAGGCGAACTGTCATAACTCCAGGGCCATTAATAGACCCTGCAATGACAACCCTCCTGAACTGTTTCTCCACGGGCTTGGACTCGCCTGTAAGCATCGATTCATCGACCTCAGATGAGCCACTCATCACCGTTCCATCTGTCGGGATCCTAGTATCTGGTAGAACCTTGAAGACATCGCCATACTGAAGAAGTCTGGCGTCTATCTCACGCTCTGTGCCGGTCTCCTCGTCAACCAGAATGGCAGTCGAGGACTGGAGTGATCGGATTGAGATGGATTCAACTGCCTTCTGGCGAGCAAGTGCCGCAACCCACCGTCCGACCATGATCAGGGTAACTAGCAGGGTGGAAGTCTCGAAGAATTGACCAGTCGAAAGGGGCTTGCCGGCGATGAGATATCCAAATGAAACAACAGAAAAGACGTAGGCCGCACTTGTGCTCAAAACAATCAACAAGTCCATCTCAATGACTCTGGAAAAGACCAAAGCCTTGATAGCTTTCGGGTAGAAAGGCCCAGCAACCACAACCTGAACAATGGTGGCCAAGGCCAGAGAAGCCGAAGAGTATGCGACCTCTCTCTCAGGAAGCGGAGCCCAAGCCATGACCAGAACAGGAATTGTCAGAACAGCAGATAGGAGGGTAGTGTACCCAACATGACGAACATGTTTACTGCCCGCTTCAAGTGACGAATCACCACGAGGAGGCGCAAGCTGAACTGGAGGGTCCCAAGATCTTTCAGCAAGGTCTCGCGCTCCGACGATCTTGGGATCAAATGAGACTCGAACAGTATCTTTGTCGACGAGACTCATATCCAACACTCCTTCAGGCCATGCTTGGCCAGTAAATTCAGACGTGCTGCCATTCACAGTGAAATCCAAGCTAGACCCCTTAGTCTGAAGTCGTTCACATTTGAACTCAGTGGTTCGCTCGAGATGCTTGATAACCTCATCTACTGAGCCGAGACGAAGATCAATGTTAAACTCGGCACGTGAGAGAACGAGACTGGTCTTCAGATCATGGACAGCTGGGACTGTAGCGAGAGTTCTGTTGAGCTTAGTCTCACAGCCAGTGCATGTCATACCGGAGATGCTGAGAACCACATGTTCCTTTCCTGTTGCCTGTTTCTCTACGTCTTCGGGGGTTTGTGTTGTTTCTATCTTCATTCCCTTCTTAGGCGACGTAGACACGCAACAAGCATCCGCCGGAGAGTCTCGACAGGTGATAGATGGAGCCTTCTCGCAGCAAGAATCGGCACAGCTGTTAGAAGATTTGGTGACGATCTTCTCAGCTGGCTTGCAGCAGGAACTGACACATGTTGACTTGGGTAGCTCATTGACGATCGCCGCTAGTTCTTCGTCACAGCAGGACTTTGCGCAGTTGCCCTTTGCAACTTCAGCCATTCGTCCATTCTTGGCAGTGAATGGCTCTTCCGGCTGAGTTGTGCAGCATTTATCGGGACACCCGCTGCTCTCAACAATTTTCTTGGAAAGATCACCATCGCTGCAGCAGTTGCTGGCACAGCTCTTTTCGACGAGTGGGCTCTTGGGTGCAGCCTTCTTGGAACAACGC